ATAACGACGGCGCCAGGCGGACCTCTCTGGGGAGCGCATTCCATAGATTGGGCGCCACCGCAGAGAAAGCCCTCCTCCGAGTACTTACCTTCCTAATTTCTTTCACGGAGGGTTCCCGGAGAAGGGCCTCTCCCGCAGATTTCAAGGGGCGGCTGGGCAAATATGGATGTAAGCGCTCCTTCAGGTAACCAGGACCCAAGCCGTTTAGGGCTTTATAGGTCATCACCAACACCTTGAATTGGGCCCGGACTTCAATGGGAAGCCAGTGAAGCTGACGGAGAACTGGAGTCATGTGAACATAACGTCCAGTCCCCGTCAGCAGCCTGGCAGCTCTATTTTGGACCAATTGAAGTATCTGGACTTAATTTTAATGAATTAAGTCTCCGCCACAGAGCTCTCTCCAGCTGCAGCCTCTCCCTCCTCTGGCCTTCTTTCACCCAGTTATGACCTGGTGGCCCTGCCCCTTTGAAGGGCCCTGCCACCGCTGGGTGAGCCCACATGGCCACAGGCACCACGACAATGGCCCCTTCAACCTGGGTGTTGGTGCCCACATGCGGCCTTGCTTAATCCAAGGAGTCTGCCGTAAGCAGACAGCCAGCGTGGCGCCGTGGTTAAGGAGGCAGGTCTGGGACTCGGGGGATCCGGGTTAGACCCCACTTAGTCATGGAGCCAGTCCCAGACTCTCAGCCTAGCCTACCTCACAGGGTTGTTGTTGGGGGGGTAAGACTGAGAGCAGGAGAGTGCTATAAGCAGCCCTGAACCTTTAAAAAGGCAAAAGGCAGGCAATAAATCTAATAGATAAATAAGTAACTCTTCAAACGCCAAGGATTGTGGGTATCCTATGCCTAGCAGGAAGGAGATGAAGGTTGCCTCCGTGCTCTTGTCATGCACAGCTCTTAGATGAGCAATTTTGTATTATTCTGGGTTATTTAATGTAATGGTAATATTTGTTGCAGTGCATTTAAACCTCACCCCACTTTCCTGGTGAGCCTTGAGAATACACTGGAAGAGAAATAATCTTAAATACATAGATATAACTAGGCCGTCCCTGCCATTAGGCAGTCGGGCATTTTATTTATTTATTTATTTATTTGAAACATTTTTATGCCGCCCCCATCGCAACAAAGCCTCGGGGTGGCTCACAGCAGCATTCACCTCTGGTGGCTGATGATGGGAGGTGGCAGGAAAGGTCTGGGGAAAGCACAGCCAGGCCACCCGCCCTGCGCCCACTAGGCCAGCCTGCCACCCTCAGGGTCTGGCAGTGAATCTTACTGCTTTGGCATTATTGGAATAGAGGTAGCCAGAGTGGTGTTGTGGTGAAACTATTGGACCGGGACTCAGAATATCTGGGTTCTAGTCCCTAATCAACCATGAAATTCCCTGGGTGCCTTTGGGCTAGTCACTGATTTTCATCCTATCCTACCTCACAGGGTTGCTGTGCAGGTGAGAGAGAGAGGAGGAGAACCTTGCAGGCTGCCTCGGGCTCCTTGCAGGAGGAAGAAAGGTGGGGTACTAAATGTGCTATGGTAGTAATAATACTGACAATAATAAAAGAAAATTCACAACTGCCTGGTCTGATTGGCATTTGAACACGGAATGAGAGAGGCCGTCATATAATGATGGACCTTGGAGAGCAAAACGTCTCAGGCACCCCCCAAAACAGCATTAGGGTGCCGTTGTTGCCAGAGTGACGAGGAAGATTGCGTAGGCCACTTGGTTTCCTTGCAGGAAGAAAAATGGGGATAGAAATAGAACAATCATGTAAAGAGATGTCTAGGCAGAAAAACATCCAGGAAGAAGACATGAAATTGCAGACTTCAGCCAGGCCTGAGGAATGCTAGAAATTATTATTTTTTTAAATCTGTCTAAACATGCAAAGGGTTGTGCCTTAAGGTTCAGCCTTATGCATGTTAAGACAGAAAAAAGGCCTATAACTCCCAGCATGCCCCAGCCAGACGGTTTTACTGTCTCAACAGGCATAGGATTGCGCCTTTAGGAAACTATGATGTCTCTGTCCGTGGCTTTATTACGAGCAAGCAAAATTCCACAAAAGCATGCAAACTTTCAAGTTCCGCAGGCTCTTGGAATGAATGTTGTGCAAATTCGACACCGATCTCCGCATCACCTGTGTTAAACCAACTCAGAGATTCAAAGTGCCTAGAATACTTCATCGGACAAGATGATGCTGTCGCTGCAAGAAAAAGCAAAGTAGGGAAGAAATGCAGCTGAAACACGCACATCTGCATCTGCAGCGTTAGGTATGGAAAGGATCTGGAAATCAAGCCTACGGGACTAAAATTAAAAATGCACAAATATGCATATGCAAATTTATATATGGTGTAAAGATTGTACGTGTGTGTTTAAAGGACCGTTTTCTAAAGACACCCCTATTGTAAAAAGGGATATATATAGACAGAGGGAAGAAGATATTTAATTTCAGAAGGAAAAAAAAAACCACTGGCAGAAAAATGCAAAACAGAGGCAGTGTGACCTAGTGGTTAAGAGTGCAGGACTGGGACTCAGGTGATCTAGGTTTCAGTCCCTGCTCAGCCATGGAGCCAACTAGACTATGGCCTAGTCAGAGAACCTCAGCCCAACCTACCTCACAGGGTTGTTGTTGACTGTGAACAAGAGGAAGGGAATGATGTAAGCCACTTTGAATACTTTAAAAAGGAAAAAAGTAGGATATACATCAAACAAATAAATACATAAATAAAACGGGACAGCAGAAGGAAAAGCACTTGTGGGTCAAAAGCCAGATAATCTGATGCAAAACGGACCTTCAGGACCCCTGTAGCTTTAGTTCAGCAAGAGGTGGGGCAGAGATCCCGGCCTCCAGCCTGTGGGGCACCTCCTACGGCCCCCTTTCATCTGGACAATCTCCTGAAAAGCTCGTGCCTTAATAAGTGTGCCCGTCTTTTAAAGGGTCACCATGTTCTGGAGTCCTGCAGAACTAAGCTTTCAATTTGTTTTCTCCAGCCTCGCCAAGACAATAATCCTCGCAGGCAGAAATTCCAAAGGTGTGGCTTTATTTTATTTTTTTTCTTTTACTGCTGCATTATGGAGGCATGCCGATCTGGAAAACTTCGCTGCTGGCTGACTTTCTACCTGGAGGGGGGGAAAACTTAATCCCGTCCCACTTGAGTTATGCAATCCTGACTGTTTAAGAGGTGCGGTTCCCGCGCGTCTCCGATGGCGGGTTCTTAACTTCCACCTGCCTCTTTTGTTCTCACAACCCGGGAAGCAGGTAACAGGGGCCTGTTGCAGCCTTTCCCCGTGTCTCTTTTCTTCTTTTTGGCGGCGCCTTTTCTTATTTTTATTTTATGTGTGCGTGTTTATTTTTCCTGGGAGAAACTATCCTGGAAGAGAAGAAAACAACATTTTTGAAAGCTGGGTGGATTTACTTTGTTTTCCAACGCAACGCATTGTCTAGCTTTTAAATCCCTCCCTTAAACCCCTCTCCTTCCGCTTAGACTCTTTTTTTAATGACCCTGCCCACTGCCTGTTAACCTTTTCCTGTCCCCACAACTCTGCATTTAGTCCCTCTATAAACTATGGGGAGAGAGAGGGAGGGGGGAGGGAGGATAGGGAAAAATGTAACTACACACCAGAGAATACACACACCGCATGAGATTCCCTCCATGGTTTTGCAGTCTGGGCCGAAATCACAAAAGGCGAACGGCGTGCAGGGCGAAGAGCAATTTTAAAAACAAACACGAAAGAGGACCTTTTTTTTTCCTTCTTACCAAGAGGTAGTGGACGGGTTAATCCGATAGAGGGCTGTGTTTCCCAGAGAGGACAAGAAACTTGAGCTATAGGAGGCTCTTAATACCCGAGGCCCTTTTCTGAAGAGAGGGACGCACAGAGAGAGAGGGAGGGAGGGGGAGAGAGAGAGAGATTGAGAGAGAGGCTGGATTTAGAGTTAACATTTTATGTTGTTGTTGCAACCGAAGCTGCGGCTCCAGAAGAAAGAAATGCACAGGCAGATGTATGGTAGGTAACCGACAGGGGTGCAAAGGGAGGGAAGTCCGCTCGCTTTGCAAAATAAAAGTAGCAGAAGAAAGGGAGGCGAAGGGGGAGGTGTTTTGACCTCCCCACCCCCACCGGGCCACCGTGAACAGGGCTGGTTTTGTGCGGCTGATCTCTGCTAAGCATGGCCCCAGCCAGGACAATGGCAGAAGCAGCAGCTGATCCCCGATCAAAGCACAAGGGGGAAAATGGATCTTCTCCTTCCCCTTCTCTCCCTCCCCCTCTCCCTCTTTCTTTCTCTCCTCAAAATCCAGAGGAGGAAGAGAGAGAGAGAGAGACGGTGGCTTTTTCCCTTTCCCTCCCCCCACCCCCCCCCCCCCCCCCCATCTCAGGGCTTTGCAAACAGGAGAGGAATGGCTGGAGACCTTTTGTGTATTGCGGACGTAGCCGGAGGCGCCGAACTGAACCCGGAGCACCCTCTCGTCCCGCCGATTCCTCGCCCTTTCCCCATTCCGCCCATGGGCCGCCGCGAAAGGAGGAGAACTCCCGTCCGACTCCCAAGGAGACCCACTGGAACGAATGGGGCTGAAACGGGGCTAACGCGGGGTTGCCGCGCGAGGCGTGCAAGCGATGCGCGTTCAGAAAGGAGCGCGCTGGCGGAGCCGTCCTGTTGCGTGTCTCCTTGGAAGTAAGCCCAGTCGAGTTCAGCGGCGCTTCCCCCCAGGTGGAGTTTAGGGTTACCCCGGGCTGCCCGCTCCGGGGAGATCTCTACTTGGAAGCAGGCGCCATTGAACCTAGTGGGGCTTCTCTGCGCTGAGGACGGGGCGCTTACTTTTCTTCCCGTTGGGTGGGTTTGGGCCGCATGTGAGTTCTGATATATTTGCTTTAAACCAGGGCTGTAGGGCTTCGTGGATTTGAATCACAGCACGAGTAGATTAAGAACTTTTCCGTTGTTAATTACAATGAGAAGAAGAAAAGGACTAAAGGGGGAGCAAAAGATACGGGAGGTTCGGACAAGTTGGCACCCTGTTGTCTTTCCCTGCAAAGAATTAGGTCCGAGGCAGGATCGGGGGTTGTGCCCCACGGCAGCCGTAAGTCTCATTCATTTCGACGCACGCATTTTTCCATCCCCACTAGAACAACAAAAGGGCTTATGGCACCTTAGGGCAGAATCCTATGCATGTCGAGACAGAAAAAAATTCCAACAACTCCCTGCACGTCCCAGCCAAGCCAGGGACTTTGTTCTGCCTCGACACGCATAGGATGGCGCCCTCAAAGGCTTAACCCGCTTTAGGTATTTATTTGCAATAAACGTATTTCGCCGACACGGCGCCACAAAGCGCGTTTGCGGCAGCGCGGCCACCCCCACGGCGAAGGGTTTCTGTCTGGCTTTGCTCTCGCGGATGAGATCGTTTCCTTGAAAAGCAAAAGGTTCCCGAATCAACAGTGGGTAAAACGAGGACGGGCCCCTGGCTGAGACCCCAGAGCCGGCGTGGGAGACCCCCAGATGTTTGGGGGCCTGCAACTGCCCCTTTTGCCTAGGACAGGTTGGAGCCCTAGGCCGAAACGGCTCGATTGTACTGAGCTGTAGGGACCAGTTATCTCGTTCAGTAAAAGACAGAGTCCCGTGTTTCTAGTCCTTAGGAGAAGGCCCAGAGCTTTGTGGTAGGGCACTACAAACGGCCCCAGGTTCAGCCTTTGGTGTTTCCAGAAACAGGCTGGGAAAGATGCCTGGTTTTGGCCCTGAAACGCCTCGACCCCGGATGATCTGCATAGCATTTGCCCTTAACTCCTGCCAGTTCTAGCAAGCAGTCCCAGTGGTCGGAGATCATGAAAGTTTGAGTCCCAAACAGATTATCCAGCCCCACTGAGCCAGATGAAGCAACAGTTTGACCCTACACAGGTTTCGTATGTTCCTAAAGAAGGGCTGCAGCTCAGGGTGCTGTGTCCGTGCCCGCATGGCTCAGTCAAGGCTGGAAAATATCTCCATTTGAAAGCCACTACCAGTCAGTATGGGCCAGCCATCCCCAATCTGTACCCCTTCACGAGATGCTTTGGACTACAACTCCCATAGTTCCTTGCCAGGATGGTCAATGTTGAGGAATTGTGGGAAGGAAGTGGAGGAGGGTGGTGTAGCCCAGCCAGCCCCAACCTGCTGTTCTTAGATGTTGTGGCCTACAGCTTCCATAATCCCTTGCCAGCATTATAGGAAATGTAGTCCAAAACATCTGGAGGAAACCAGGCTGGGAGAGGCAGAAGCTGAGTTAGATGTACCAATACCTTTTGATCCTGACCCCATTGCTTCGGACCCATAGAATCTGCTTTCGTGTCATTCAGTTTCCTTTACTCTTAATGTCATTCCTGGAGATCTTCTTTGGCATATTCTAGATTTTTCTTAAAAGGGGCCTAACATCGTGACTGTTACAAAGCTGTACTTTTAAATTCGAGACCTTGTGAAAAATGGCGGGTGGCTAACGTTGTCTTGCACAAAGCATCTTCTGCAGTGTGGGGAGGAAGTGTTCCTCCCCAGCTGCCCTCCGAATCAGTTGGACTGTGACTCCTATCTTCCCCAGCAGCATGGGGAAGATGGGCATTGTAGTATAGCACATCCAAAGGTTTTAGGTAAGGGAAGGCAGTTCCAAGATGGCAGGTGGTGCCTGTCATCCCGGTGCCTCTTCTGTCCCGCCTTCCACCCCATCTTCCATCTCCCACGCCCACCAGCTTTCTACACCCACTGAACACCCACCTTCCTCAAAGAGGTTTTTTTTCCTTTTCGCCCCATGTGCCAGAGTTTCCCTTTACAGGTTTTTTCCTACTTTGACAGACCTTCTGTTCCCCGGATCCTGCTGGTGCTTTTTTCTCATGCTTGGAAGGTGCTCGTTTATTTTGAGTGTAGTTAGTATGTGCCTTGTGTTGCTACCCAAGGCACAGAACCCTGAAACAGAATCATGTTTTTCCTTTTTTCTCCTGCCCCCCCCCCCCCCCCCCCCAGACTGGGGATTATTATTGTCCTAGGCAGTGTGCTAAGATTTAATCCTTCACATCAGTGGATTGAAGCACCAGTGATTTCTATTTAATTTAGAACTAAATACACGTTTCTTTAAATTTGAATAAGCAGATTTGTTCTATTTCATTTATTAGAGCTCATAAACATATTTCTCCCTGCAAGGGACCCAAGCAAGAGTATAGGAGCCTCCTCCTCCTCACCATTTTTTTCACAACATCCCTATGAGGTAGGCTAGGCTAAGAGTGAGTGACTGGCCCAGTCTCCCGGTGAGCTTCATGGCTGAGTGGGGATTGCAACCTGTCTCTCCCCAGTTCAACACTCTAACCACTAGACCATATTGCCTGACATCTTCTCTAGGCCATGATAGCCATGCTCAAATGCCAGACAAGTAGGAAGATGGCTTCTTTATGGACCAGAGGTGCGGAGCCTCCGGGAAGAGCTTTGTGCTAAAACACACAGATGCTTTGCTTTCAGCTCCTTGGCTCCGCCCCTTTGCCTTTGGCCCCGCCCAGCCCTGGAATGCCCCTCCCTCCAAGATCTCCTCTGCGAGGAAGTTGGTCAAGTGCCTTTCCAGGAGTGTGCCAGAGAGAGTCCCTTAGGAGGAAGGGGATTTTGAGCTGCTTTTCCCTCCCCTCAGCATTCCTGGCCTTGCCATCCAAGAATTCACTCTGGCGCGTGTGGCATGGCCGGGGGGGGGGGGCACACTGCAGGGAACTGGCCAAAATGGTTTCCCCGCACGTCCCACTTCGACCGGATCAGAACTCCCTTTGCGCACGGGTATGCGGATGCAATCCCGAGCAGGAGTGGTAGGCCAGCTGGCCGGCCCCGAACGCAGCAGGACTGCCTCCGAGCCATCTGTGCGTGGGATTGCCCCTCTCAGCTTAATGGGCTTGTGTTGTATTTCCTTGCTTTGCCGTTCCCCATAGCCAGGGTCAAAGAAGCAGCCGGGGGGGCTTAAGCCGCAATCCCATCCTTGGCAAGACACCGTAGCCGGTATTTTACTGCTTGCCATAATGGGCCCGGGCCTTGCTCTAGCTGACAAGATTTCACACCCTGTCTGTGTAGCCTGAAGGACTAGAAACTTAGACGTTTTCCAGAATGTGTGTCAGACAAGTGGTGAAGACATACTGAGCCTGACAGGGCAATTACATGCTGGCCTTTCCCAGCTGGGCGCCCTTCAGATGTGCAGGACTGCAGCTCCCAGCAAGCACAGAGCTGATTGGAGGATGATGGGAAATGTAGTCCAGCACACCTGGAGGGCACCTGACTGTGGCAGGCAGCTGAACCTGCATCAGTCTGGGACGGGACTTCGCTGCTACTCTGGCAGAGGGCTGCTTTAACCCGTAAATTCAGGAGAGGGAAAACGTCCAAGTGGGAAATGCAGAATCCCCGTCACGGACACACCGCCACAGCCTGGTGACCTGCAGCAGCTGCATCCAGAAGAGGCACTGCCAGGGTGGAGGTCCTATTTCAGAGGGAACGGTCCTCTATTTTGGAGAGCTGGCAGAAGGTAGACGCCTGTTTGAAGAGGCCTCTGTCCAGTTTTGAGGGAATTGAACGCCTCAAAGGCAAAACAGGAGAGGTCACGAGGTGGTCCACGGGTCCTTTATTTTGGGGCAGAAACAAAGGTCACCCAGCACCTTTTTCTATTTACTATTATTGCATTTATATCCTGTCTTTTTTCCTTTTTTGAGGAACTGAGGATGGGTTATGTAGCTCCATCTTTTCCTCAAAACAACAACCCTGTGAGGTAGGATAGGGTGAGAGTAAGTGACTGTCCAAAGTCACAAAATGAGCTTCATGGCCGAGTGGGGACTCGAACCCGGATCTCCCAGCTCCATTCCAGTATCAAACCACCACACCACATTGACTCTCGTAACACAGTGATGTGTTTTTAAGTTAAATTTTAGTTCTTTCTAAATTTGCACTAAAAGATAAGGATGTGCATGCATGTATGCTATACAAATGGGTGTCCTCTATTGTTCTCTTTTTATTGCTTAATTAGTCCCTTTATTAATAAAACAGATGTGTTGCTTAAAAGTAAAAATTTCCAAGGGGGACTCGTGCAAATACAAAAAATCATATTTCTATAGAATACTAAAAATGGTTATTAAAAGCGATTTAAGCTACAATGAACAAAATGCTTTTAAAACACACTTTTAAAAACAATTTTAAAACTACCCTAAGAGTACAGAGACAATACAAAAAAACAGTGAAACAGAGCAGCATATAATTCATTGCAATTATTTACCAGAAATCATAGAATAGTAGAATTTGGAAGGGGCCGTGAAGGCCCAGCCTCCTGCTGGTGCAGGACACCAATTCGCACCATCCCACTCAGATGGCTGCCCAGTTTCCCCTCGAATGTCTCCAGTGTGGGAGAGCCTACCACCTCTCCAGGCAACTGGTTCCAGTGTCGTGTTGCTCTGACCAGGAGAACTCTGACCAGTTTGCCCTGGGGGCTTCTTCACGTGAGGCATTAACCAGCCCTGGTACCGAGGCTTCTGCTTCTGGTTTCTTTACGAGATTAAGATCTGCTCTTTTGCTTTCTTTTGGCTTTTCCCTAGTGCTTTTCTTACTCGGCCTTTGATTACACAACCCTAAGGTGGCACAGTGCAATTGTGGGAATACACATGCTTATTTTAGCATGATTTCGTACAGCCTGTCCCAGCCTTGTGCTTCGCAGACCTTTTGGACAGCAGTACCCAGAATTCCCAGTCCACGGCCCTGCTGCATGGGAATTCTGGGTTTTGCCGTCCAAATGCCTCTGAAGGGCACCGGGGGGGGGGCGGGGAGGTTGATGTACTATGATAGCCAGAGAATAGCTCAGTTTTCTCACTCTAAAAAAAAACAAAAAAACACAGAAATGCATAGAAAGGAAGACAAAATTCTTCTTTGCTCAGATTATGGAATATGTTCCCCAGTGAGGTCCGCCTGGCACCGAGCCTATACTCTTTTCGGCGCCAGGTTAAAACCTTTTTATTTAATCGCTATTTCAAAAATCAGTATTTTTGCCACTTATAGTCGCTTTTGTTTAATTGGTTTTGATTGGATTTATTTGTTTCGGGTTGTGTATTGTTCGATTGATTGTTTTATGGTTTTGCTTTTAATCATGTGAGCTGTCCTGTGACAAGACAGTGAAGGGCAGCATACCAATGTTTTAAATAGATGAATAAAGCATCCACAAGCTACTGTGAGTAAGAAATCGAGAGCACAATAAATTCCTTGTTGCGGGGAAGACCCTAAATGCAAATGGCCAGTCACCATTTCCAAAGGTATGCTAAGCTCTAGTGCATTTCTGTTTAAAGGAGAACCCTGTCCGGTAAATTAGCATATCCAACAGTTATGCATATCACTCTTTTGTCTGAGTGATGCATGGCTTCATTTGTGGTGATTCCCAAGTGCCAATCTTTGCCCCTGCTTTACTAGCCCCAGCAGACTAATGAAAATGAAAATTCATACCTTTTGAGGACTCACACGTTGTCCTTACATACCATCCAATCACGAAAGCCCCCCAAAATACCCTTTCCATGACAGCCCCGCTCCGCTGTTGTAATCCCAAGGTTGCGCCTTCCTTTATGGAGTCCGTCCATCTCCTGTTTGGTCTTTCTCTTCTTCTTTTGCCTTCTACTTGGCCCAGCATGATTGTCTTCCCCAAAGAGTCCGGCCTTCTCATCAGGTGCCCAAAGGGTGACAGCCTCATGGCTTGGCGTAACCTTTTCTGTCCCGCATCAGAGTTTTCTTCCTCCTGAACGACATTACTCAAAAGGAGGGCCCTTTGCTGCTTTCGCTGAGAAGGATTCTTCTGCTAAATGTCTGTCTTCCATTCTCTTTCATTCTCGTTCTTCAGGTAGAAGATCCTGCAATCAGCTACTGATTTTTTTCATTCAGAGACTCTCTGTGTGCTTCTAAGGCAAAGGCATCATTCCTAAATTCGTCACAGCCTTTCAGGCGGATTGAAACACATCCTAAGAGCTTCCTCCCACGTCCCCCACAGTTGCCACGAGAGAGGGGGGGGGTCTTTGGTCTCAAGGTGTGTCTCAAGATGGCAGCAAAACGTGGATCGGGTCTCCAGTTCCAGGGCTCGTTGGAGCAGATGGGCCGGCGAGGAATGAAAATGGAGGAGGAGGAAGAGGAGCCCGACAACCCTGACCCGGAAGAAGGTTGGAGAGGGAAAGGGGAGGCCTCCCGCGGCCCCCGAGAACGAGAGGAAAGGCTTCCTCGGGGCCGAGCCGCTCAACAGAAGGAGTTCCTCAGCACAGCGCGTTCCCCCCGCTCAGGGTGGAGGAACCCTCCGGCAACACGGCCTGCCGAATGGGAGGACCGGCAGGACTTTTCCACCTCTGTGGAGGGACCGGCGGTCGCCCGCCAGTGGCCAAGGGGAGGGCGGGTCAGCCGGCGCCTGCCGAACCTCAGCGGAGAAGCCCCAGAGGCCCAGAACGTCCTGGACTCTGGGGAGATTGGAGAGACTGGGGTGGTGAAAGTCAAGGAAGAAGTGGTGGGGGACGACTCTGCCAGCATGGAGATGAAGCGGCAGCGCTTCCGGCAGTTCCGCTACCAGGAGGCCGAGGGGCCCCGCGAAGTCTGCAGCCAGCTCTGGTACCTCTGCCACCGGTGGCTGAAGCCCGAGCGGCACACCAAGGAGCAGATCCTGGAGCTGCTGATCCTGGAGCAGTTCCTGGCCATCCTGCCCCCGGACATCCAGAGCTGGGTGCGAGAGCACGAGCCGGAGAGCTGCTCGCAAGCTGCTTCGCTGGCTGAGGATTTTCTACAGATGCAGCGGGAGGCCGAGAGGAGAGAACAGCAGGTACGGGAAAGTTTTGTGCTGATAATTGTGTGGGAGGGGAAGCAGGGAGGTTGTATAACACATCATCCCCTAAACGTACAGTGAAGACCCCTCTGAGCTGGTGTCCTGTTTGCTGCAAAGGCCAGCTAGGGCTCCCCTGAGAAACCCCGAAGCAGGACATGAATGCAAAGCTGGGGTTGGCACCAAGGGTAGGTATGGTTGGGCCCTCACCCCAGCAGGGACCGCTTGACAAGAGACCCCTGGAGGTCGTCTTCTTCACCATGGTAACCTGCTTGCTCATCTGCTTCTCCCTCTGGCCCAGACAATGGCAGTGGGGAGAAAGAGGAGTAGGAAATGCCAACCAATTCCCTCCTCGCTGGTTTTCTGCCCGTCGTGCATGCAAGTCCTGGCTGTGCTGGGGAGGAGGAGCAGAAGCAAGAGCAGCTGCTGGCAACGGCCTGAAGGGAGACTCTCTGGGGGAGGGAGCCTCTCCGGGTGTCTTGGTGAAGGACTCTCCAAACCTGGTTGTGGCCTCCGAAGCTGGAAATCCAGCATTGCCCTCCTGAGCCGTGTTGCAGTGGCACCAGGGCGCACAGGACCGAGGCACTGGGACCTTTCCTTAGCAGGAATGGTGGCATCATCTGCCCACCCCAGAGGCTTCCTTGTTGCCTCCAGACTCAGCTGCAGTGCTCACAATCACAGCAGGTTCGAAGGAGTGGATTTCCCTCGTTGCCCCGTGTTGCAGTTTGAGGGTGGCTTCATCTGGAAAGGGCAGTGAAGCCCCAAGAGCTTTGCAGAAGACGGGGTGGAGATACAAACTGAGGGAAAAACTGGTTGGTGTGGATCAACAGAGCTGCTTGCAGTTTGTGGACACTTTTAGGGGACGTGGTTTTGCAGAAAGTGATGATAATCGCTTGCTCTTCAAACCAGCCACTGCGTCACTGACTGCGACTGATTACAGGGGGCTGCTCAAACACCTCTTTCAAAACCAGTGGCTACCAAGAAGTCTTGGTGGCCACAAATTCCATCCACCCATTTTCCCATGAGTTGTGTGAAGAAATAGCTCTCTAGCACAGCTAACCCTCCCTCACTAAACTCTGAAGCTCCAAACCCCTTTAAGATTGCAATCCTATTTATGTCTACTCCAGAGTATATCCCATTGTGTCCAGTTGGACTCAATTCTGAGAAAGTGTGTCTGGTGACTGAGCAACCTTGAAATGTTCTGGATACGACCCTCAGAATTCCTGACCATCCACTGTGCGGATTGGGGCTTAATGAGTGCTGGATCTAAAACATCAAAAAACTATAATGTTTCCTATAATGTTGGGTACGGGATTGCTGCCCACAAAGACGGCAGCGGGCAGCTTGTGCTCCTCCCGATTTTTTGGCCGTGGCTCAGTGGCAGCGGCGCTGCTTTCCCTGCAGAAGAATCCTGCAGAAGCCCTGCAGAAATATTGCTAGTCGGTGTCCAAAGTGCCTGGGAAATCCAGGGCAAAACACAGGCCGCTGTCGTGCAACTAATATTACTTATTACATTTCTATACCACCTGTAGTCAGAGCTCTCTGGACTGTTTGCAGCAATAATAATAGAATCATACACTCAAGCTACAAGCTGCTCACCTGGTTTCCTCTTCCTTAGGGCTTCACATGTCTGGTTTCTTTGAGTTTAATGCCCACAGGCACCAGCAGTAGGAAAGCTGCATTCCCAAACTCACCTGGGAGCAAGACCTGTTGAACTCAATGGGACTTCCAGTTAAGGGCAGGATCCTACGCCTTCCAGAGGCTGTCCAGAGTGAAACTCTGTGGGGATGTGATCTATCCTGGTGGCAGCTCAGCCTCTCCTCCTCATGAGTAGGCACAAGACAGCCGAAATTGGCTAAGTGTTCTGGAGGGCTGGAGAAGGGCCCTAGGCTGGATTAAGTTCCGTGTGACTGACTCATGTATGCACTTTAATATGTATTTATTTAGAATCAGTGCCCAGGGGACTGTAATATTTTGCACCTGGTACACTTTCTGGAAATAATGGGGATCTCTTCCTATATTTCTTCCTAGAGGTGCCATGGGCCAAATAGGTGGCATATAAATGTTTTAAATAAATAAATAAAATGTGCATCCCTTTACTGTGCTCCACCTTGTCACGAGGCAAAGAGCTGGACTGAGAGAGGAGTCATCAAAGTCCTTCTTCTCTGTGCCATCTTCTTGGACTCCTGCAATTGTGGATGGCATTGCCCTTTCCCTACAGAAATCTCCATCATAAATTTTATTTCTGTACCGCCCGATAGCTGAAGCTCTCTGGGCAGTTCACAACCATCTCTCAACAATACAGAAAGAAAATGCTATAAAATACATGTAGTCCATGAGGACTAGAATCATGCACATGTTGCATTTTTAATTAAATGCAGAGGGTCTCTGGATTCTGGCTTTTGGGTTCCATAACAAAAACTGCACATGCTCTGCAATGCCACAAATTACTCAGAGCCTTCTGAGTAATCTATTCGAAATGGAAAGGAAATGCTTTCCAAGTGGACCCTGGCTGCGAATATGGGAGCTGTAGGTGGGGACCTCTTGCGGGTGCTTTCAGGGAGCTTCAGGTGCCCTCAAGCAGAAGCCACCGTGTAGCAATCCTGCTTTTGCTTTCTCAGTGGATTTTTACGGAGAGAAAAGAGATGGGAAGGCTATGGGAGGGTGATAACTGGGAGACGAGGCCTGCGTCTGGATCACCACCACGCATTCTGAGCTGGAGAAACCCATTTCCTTGCCAGCACCCTGGAGCAAGAGAAGTCAAGCCTGCTCCATCATCTGAAGGACCCCCCCCCCCACCCTTAATCTTTCCTGCCTCAACTTGATGACTAGAGGCTTTTATCCACAAGGCTGTTGAACAGTTAATCCTCAGTCACCTATTCCAGTTTCAAAATTCTGCATTCAGTAGCAGACATAAGCTACATAAGTTTAGAGCACATGCTGGGAGTTGTAGGGTTTTTTCTCTGTTTAAACTAGCACAGGGTTGCACTTTAAATGCTCTAAAAAAAACTTGCCAAAGCACTAGGCACGGATGCAAACTGGAGAGTCAGGAAACTGCTGCGATTAGGGAATGAGGAGCACAGGACAAATGCCTCATATGGAAAAGCCTTCTGTGCAAGCTTGTCTCCTTCCTCCTCTATTGTCTCTCGTGGCTTTTTCTCCAGTGAAGGATCCAGTAGGTGGGAGCCTCTTGTAGGTGGGAACAACGCAGAATTGCAGCAGAATGTTGAATTAGACTGGGAAGAGACAGGGTTTAATTTTGGGATCGTTCTGGCCAGTCACCACTGCCTGGCCTGGCCTACTTCACAGGGTTGTTGTGGAATTCAAAGGTGGAGGGGACATGAAAAGAATATAACAAACACACATATTCTGACCCCGCTGGCTGAAAGCGTTGTTCTGGAAGTGGGGGACAAGCAGGGCAGGGTTAGGGAAACCTGCAGCCCTGTTGGGTTCCAACTCCCATCACTTCTGACCCATGGTTGGGGCTGAGGGGAGCTGGAATCCCACAACCTGTGGAGGGCAGGGCTCCCGGCTCCCGAGGACAAGTGGAATGAGCATTCCATGGAGTGCCCTGGCCTTCCCTTCCCGGAAATATCTGACCCAAACACGATCTTTGCTGCTGCTTCCAGGTGCTGGGGCTGTTTGAGATGGATAATGCGGAATCCCCAGAAGCCGAGGCGGAGCGGCCCCCGTCAAACACAGTGCCGAAGCCGCTGTTCAGGGAAGCCAAGCAAGAGGTGGAGGAGGAAGAGGGCAGCAACTTGGGCAAGTCTTCTTATTGAGTTGTTGGACCTTTGCCGGTCCTTGGGGCAAAGCGCTTTGCTACCAAGATTTCTTCAGGGGCCTGTGCTTTGGGCTTTGTCATGTAAAATCTTTAGCCGAGCTTTTGCGCAGAGGGAGAGTTTCGGAACCCAGTGGAGGCAACCGGGGACGGGCAGCCAACCGAGGGATCCTGGCTTCTTCACTCCCCTCCAGAGTCACCACTTCAGCTTTTTCTCAAAATGTTGCACTCCAGAGTGTTTGCGACCCTTCCAACTTGGGATGCATCTGCTGACCATCCCTTCACTCAGGCCGTTAAGAAAGTGGCAGGCAGCCTGAACCAAATTCCTTCGTTTTCTGTCCTTGGCTCCTGCTAGAAGGGGCTGAATCTTTTTGCTGCTGTGTGAACTCCAGTTTGGGAAGCACAGCTTGAAGGCTGCCAAAGCTTATTCAGTGCAAGCCATTGTTTCACCTTAAAAATAAACTTCACAGCACTAGTGGGGCAGAAGAGTTACCCCACCTGCTTCTAAAGAGCGTAAACTCACCTTTGCATGCATCAAGTCGAATCCTCTTACTCAGTGGATTTTGGCTAACAAGTCCAGGAAAAGCCAGTTTCTGTAGATCCTACTAGACAGACTAGAAGCATCTCCTCTCCAAAATTGCACAGTTCTGAACTCAGCAAAAAACTTTGGTGGCATGGAGTTCCTCCTAATTCACTCAGAAATGCCACTGTTCTTTTGAAACTGGCTGTTCTCCAGCACGGAGTAACTTGCTGCTGCACTGTGACGGGTTTATGTCAAATCGCGCAGACTGTCCTGGCATTTCTGGGTCTTGGGAACCCTCCTTTTGTGTCGGGGTCCTTAGAGGGCCTCTGCCGGTCAGGGCAGAGATCCTGGGATGGAGTCAACCAGGGATGGGCAACCAGGAGCTGGAGAGGTACTTATGCAGCCCTTGACCTGATTTCACAATCCTTTGAGGGCTCCTGCCGGGGGGGGGGGGGGCAGTGCCAAAAGAGAAAGGGGGTGGTGTCTGAGAGAAAGGAGAGTGTCAGAAAAGGAAGCAGGAGTGTTGGAGAGAGAGAGGTGTCGAAAAGAGAGAGAACGGGATGTCAGAAAGCGAGACAGAGGAATTGTGGGGGTCGAAAAAGAGGGAGAGAAAATAGAAAAGCAATGGCAGAAAGAGAGGAAAGTGTTTTGGCCCGGATGACCACCAGCACAGGGGCCTGGATGGAGGATCCCTTACAAAGTAATGCAACGCTCAACAGAAGAAGGGTTCCTCATCCCTGGGTCGTTCCGAGCTTCTGCTCAGGATCCGGCCACTTGCTGCAAGCGCTGATGGTCGTGGCCTTGCACGCGCGTGGCAGCCGAGTGTGAAGGCCGTGTGCTTGCACCACAGCAGCTCGCTGGGGCAGTTGGTCTCACTTCATGCTGGAGGAACAGTGTAGGGAAGCAGGGACCGCAACCGTCCTTAGATCTTTCTGGACAGGGAACAGGGGTGAGGGCAGGAACGTGGGAGGCAACTCCAGGAAGCGGTAGAAGCCGTCTCAGCTGGCCAGTTGCCGTGGCCCCAAAGAGAAGGGCTTTTCTGTTTAGATGGAGGCAGAGAAAGAGACGCACACACGATCCGGATCTGCTCCCAGCTCCAAAGGTAATCCGGATCTCTCCCGCTCCCCCTCTTTGACCCTACAGGGACCATGGGGCAAGTGGAGCCCCGGGCTGGCGGCCCCCTTCCCCTCTACCCGGAGGAGGGCAGCTCGGACGACGAGGGCCTCCTGGACCTCGTCTACGCCGCCAACCTGGAGCTGCACAGCCGACGGCCCCCGCGAAGGACCCGCCTCATCCGGATGCGCACCCACGAGCTCCAGGTGTCCGACGAGGAGTGCCTGACCCGCTTCCGGCTGGACCGGCAGGCCATCCAGGACCTGTGCACCCTCCTGGCCCCGTACCTGGACGGGGCCTCCGCCAGCCGCAGGCACATCCCCACCTTGCAGAAGGTGCTGATCGCGCTGCAGGTGCTCGGGACCGGCTCCTTCCAGCGCATGACGGGCGACAACCTCCGCGTGTCCCAGTCCTCCGTCAGCCGCTGCCTGGACGCGTTCCTGGAGGCCATGCTGCGCCACGTGCACGAACACATCACCTTCCCCACCACCGACTCGGAACTCCGCCGCACCCGGGAAGCCTTCTTCGACATCGCCGGCTTCCCCAACGTCATTGGGATCGTGGACTGCACCCACGTGCCCATAATCGCGCCCGCCGACATGCCGGCCCTCTACCGCAATTGCCACAACTTCCACAGCCTGAACGTCCAGGCCACCTGCGACGCCTCGGGCTGCTTCACCCACGTCCTGGCGAAGTTCCCCGGCAGCGTCCACGACGCCCGGATATTCCAGCTGTCCCAGCTGCAGAGGCTGCTGGAGTCGTGGCCCGAGGGGAAGGGCTGGCTCTTGGGTGAGTGTCCGGGGCGGGGCGGGCCGGGGCGCCCCTTCTGAGAGGCGGGTGCCCCCGATGCTCACGATGCGTCCTCTCCTCCACAGGTGACTCCGGCTACCCCTTGCGCCCCTTCCTCATGACGCCACACCCGGACGACGGCCCGGAGCCGATTGCCCGCTACAACACCACGCACGAGACCACGCGGATGGTGGTGGAGAGGGCCTTCGGGCAGCTCAAGATGCGGTTCCGGTGCCTCCACTCCACCGGCGGGCGGCTCATGCTCCGCCCGGAGAAGGTGGCCAAGGTGTTCGTGGTCTGCGCCATGCTACACAACATGGCCCTGCGGCGCCAGCTGCCCATCATCAATGGCGGACAAGGGGTGGACACCGAGGTCCCCGTGCCCCCATACCTGGAGACCGATGGCATTGTAGAGCAAGATCCCCGTGCCGTGGAAGTCCGGGATCAAATCATTAGCACTTATTTCTCACAATAAATTCAACTTTCAGTAGATGGCTTATGGCTGATTGTACGTCCTTCTGTGTTGGAAGCACCCATGCGTTGTGCTCCTGGCATGTGTGACTCGTTGTGAGGTCTCCTCGCCTCGCTAGATCTAAATCCCGAGTCCTGCGTTTCCCCAGCACGGCTTCCTTAGCGTTAATAGGGGGCCTGACGGATCAGGGGTGGAATATGTGTGGGATCAAACTGGATAATGTTTCAGCTTCTGAGATTTTATATTTTGTGTGTGTGTGTGTGTAGTTGGGCACACTTGCCTGAGTCAGGTAGGGCTCCTGCTCTGAGGACATTTTGTTAGGGTGCTCTGTCCAAACTTGCTCCACATTTGAATCATATGGCAGGTTGCTTTTTGAACATAGTGAGGGAAAGGGATTTTTCTTTTTCACTGCTCCTTATTAAGATTTCTGCTTTTTCATGAATTTGGGGACCTGTAAAAAAGCATATTTCCCCCTGCCCCCATCCACAGTAAAACACCAGGTATTCACAACAGAGCAAACCCCATGAGTATTGCAAAAGATTCAACATTGCAATATTTTCTTTTCAACTCCACCTTCTGTGGCCCTTGCATTTTGCCTTGGTTGCAAGAAATGCAGTGTAGGCCTACCTGTGAAGACTATAACATAATATGTTCTTCCACTCAGGATCAGACAGTGATCCTGCTGTTTTGCTGAAAATTATCGGTCACGGTCACGGGGTGAGCACCAGCCTCTTTGTTTTATCTCGTGGGGTAAAGAGCAGCTTTGTTTAGGGGAATGGAATTTCCGTTCTGGAAAATGGTTCAAGAGAAAGTTAACCTCTCTTCCTTGCCCTCCCAGCAGGCAGATCAAGTCACAGTGTGCTTGCTATTTAAAGTTTTAAAATGTGATGGGTCTATTTAATGGGGTCAGCGATGTTTGGCCCTTGGTCCATTTCATGCGACTCTTGCCCTCATTTCCGAAGACCTTTGCAAGCAATTAGCACAGACTTCCAGCAAGAGTGAAGTCTGTTCCTGTCCTGATTAAGATGGAGAGGAAGCGATAGAAAAAGAATTGAAAGAAAGAAAAGAGAAAGAAGCGGTGTTTGGAATTAAGATGGGACAAAGAGAGAGACAGAGGGAATGGGTAACGGAGAGAACCAAAGGGAGAAGAGGAGTGAAACACTGAAAAAGAAGTCAGAACAGAAAAAAGTGTATACTGCCCATCTCCAGTAAAAAAAAAAAGCTATTGAGCTTGTGCATTGTACACCCAAGTCCAATTTCCTGTTAAAAAGCAAACTTCAGTATCAAAGCCGCTGCCAGTCGGTATCAAAAAGCAGACCTGGTGGATAAACAAATTAATTCAGTCTCGGGTAGCTCTGCATAAATTTTGTCTGCTATTAAAGGCACAGCTGGTTTTGCAAAGCTTTTCAGCCCTAATCTTTTCTGCGCACACACTCGCGCCCTTCCGGAAGTGCCGCTGCCTTTCCGTACCAAGGCAAAGGGATATTCATGACTCCGAATAAATAAACCTTGACCCCGGCACGTGCTACTTTGGAAATCCCAGTCCCTGTTACAGATCTGAGGGAGAGATCCAAGCAACAATTGTATGTCCAGGCGGAGGAGGTGGCCCCAATCCCCGCGTGCTTCCTCGTGGCCTCCACAGCAGCCCATGCTGCTCACTGTGAGTACCACCATCACTGTCCTTGTCGCCACAGGTTGTGGCCATACTGCGCCTCATTCCAAGCATGCACCATCTCCTAAAGCAGCTTCAGCAACCTGCTGCCTCCAGATGTTTTCAGCTACAGATCCTACCAGCTCCAGCCAGCAAGGTCCATAGTCGTGGATTATGGAAGCTCTAAGCCAAAGTATTTGGAGAGTGCCCAGTTGCCTGCCTCGGGTTTAAGGGGATCCTGTCGGCTGGAAGAGGTGAGCTCGTGGCCCTGTTGAAAAGCAAGGATTAGAAAGACTTGAGTGTGGGCATCTGTAGTGAAGGTGCCTGCGATTCTGTGCATGTTTACTTGGAAGGAACTCCCACTGTGTTCAGTGGAGCTTACTCCCAGGTAAATCTGCATGGGAGTGCGGTCTTAAAATGCTCCTCTTGCTGCCCCGTGCGTGTGAGGCTCGCTGGGGGGCAGCACCCCCAGTGATCGCATGGAGGGGTCCCCACATTGGACCGCATGTTCTGTCTCACGCCTATGGGCTTCATTGCTCTGGTGTCCTCCAAGCGTTTGGGGCACAAGCTTCAGCCTTCCTGCCCACTGGCCATCTGTTAGCTGGGGATGATGGGAGCTGAAGCCTCCACAACATCTAGAAGGCCAGAGATTGCCTACCTCTGATCAAGTGCCAGATGTGTTGGACTACAGCTCCCACAATCCCCAGCCAGTCAGTCTGCCTGAGACGAATGGGACTTGCATGCCAGCACAATCGGAGGGCGCCCAGTTGAGGAAGCCTGCCCGCTCCAGGGACCATTGACCCTTCCAGTGAAGAGCGGGCTCTGCACCCAGAGGGGGAAACAGGAAGGGGGCATCTTGTGCTCCCTGGAACCCCCCGACTGGCGCTGCTGCAAAGCCGGATGCCGGCCTTGGGGGGCTCGTGGGTTCAGGGTGACTTCCTGAAGAAAATGGAGTCTCCTTGCTGTGACTGAGAGTTCAGAGCCGCTGGCAAAACACACACCCTGGGGTGACTCAACGGGCTTTTTGGTCTCCTTCGAGCAGGTGGCCCAAGGCAGAGCGAGCAGCCCAGATCCTACCAGCCCTCAGTGGAGAAGCCCAACAGGCCTTTATTAGCCTGGAGGGCAGGGACAGAGAGGATGATGGGAAAGTGAAGACAGCCATCTTGCAAGGGGGTGATGCCACCAATCCAAAGAAGCTGTGTCAGCATTTCAGGCATTTATACTACCGGGAGGCTGAGGGGCCCAGAGGGGTTTACTGTCGGCTCCAGAAGCTTTGCGACCAGCAGCAAAAGGCCAAGAGACACAGCTAGGGGCAGAGCCCGAAGCTGCTGATCCTGGAGCAATTCCTGGCCATCCTTCCGTTAGGAATCCAGAGCTGGGCCAGGAGACGTGGTCCCGAGACCTGCGCCCAAGCCGTAGCCCTTGCCGAGGATTTCCTGCAGCAGTAACCAGATTAGAGGCAGGAAAAGGAGGTGAGGCCTTTTTATCTGGTTAGCCGTTTGTGGTCCAGGACTCTGGCTGGAAGGGAGTCGGAGAGCCATTGCCTGGCTCAGCGCTGGAAAAGTGGGACAGGTGCTAGGCCAACGGCAGACATGTGCAAGCTCTTCCTGCTGGGGCTGCATCCCATTGCAGAGAAGCCCTTGGGGGCCGCGTTCTGGTGTGGGGCAAGACCACAAGCAAAAGGAGTGGAAACAAATATATTTAAAATACCAGGACATTTCAGCAGGAAGCTCTTCGTGCCAGTAACTAAGCCTTCAGGAGGGGCATTTCAGTCTTTTTGGAAATGGGGGAAACACTGCACGAACGCTAGAAAATGACATCATGTCTGGAGGAGGGTGGTTAGGGTCTGGGGAAGAGAAGATGTGGGGCATCTTGGGAGGCAGCATTGGGAACGTCAGCTCTGGGGCTGCAGTCGGCCACGATGCCCAGATGAGAGCCCCCAGTTCTGGAGGACTGTGCTCCTGCCTCCAGGAGGAGGTGGACAAACCCTTTCTCCCTGCCCAAACTTCTCCTGCAGGGGGTGCTGTTGAGCTCGGGGAAGGAATCGGGCAAGTTGCTTTTCTACCTTGACAGGGTTCCTCTCCGCCATAACAGGCCTGACCTTGGGCAGAAGCAGCTGCGTGCAGAGACCAAGCAGGGGAGGACAAGGGAGAGGCCAGCCTGCTGGGTAAGGATCGGGATGGCTGTGAGCTCGGGTCCCCCCCTTCGCACACTCAGAGCCATAGATCCTTCTTGCAAAATATTGATCAAAGCATTTTCCAGATGCACAAACACCTGGAATAAGTCTCTTTTTTATATAAAGATTTTTATTAAAATTTTTAAACTAAAAACATCAGTCATCAAATACATCGGACGTACTGGGTCAGCCCCCTATAACGTATCTTTTTAACATTCTATAATCAAATTCAAACCAATTTATAAAAATTTAAAAACATCTTTAAGCCAAGTCCCGTTTCTCCAGCCAATCATAAAAAAGATCCCAAGTTTGAGAGAAGTCAGTATCTTCTTTCTCCTTCAGTAATAGAGTCAATCTGTACACCTGGAATAAGTCTCTGAGCATGCACAGAGTGGTTTGTGGAATCCAATCTAGTATTCACCGCCAGGAACACTCCTTAGGAGCATGCCTGGGCCCCATCCCTTTGGAAGGGGCCTTCCGAAAGTAAGCACACCTCGTCTCTATGCTGTTCCTCTAATTGGGCCATCCTCTGCTGGTGATGCAGCATGGAGTCGAGAGCTGAGTGGGGGACTAGAACTCGGGATCTTCCAAGCTGCAGGCGAACACACCAACTGCTTCCCTGCACTGGCTCTCAGTGGACTCACTGGATGTTTTCCAGTGTCGTGCACACTGCAATGGACTCCACTGTGAATGAATGGTGGTGCACACATTTTAAAAAGGCAACAACCAATAAATCCTGGATTTTCTCATGTCTCCAGGAGAACAAGGGTGGTTCAGCATTGATGGAGGAGAGACATAAGTGCCAGAAGATTCATAGCAGGAGAGAGCCTGTGGAACTGTGGCAGCGAGCATGGAAGACAGGCACAGACATGTCCCTGGGAGTCGGCGCAAAGCAGCATTCTAGTAGGAAACCCACCCAAAGGAGAGAGTAGACAGATTGGCTTCTTATACAGAAGTTTACACAGATATTGGAGGAATTGCAGTCCACCAAAGGAGACACACTGGTAAGAGGCAAAATGCCTCTGGCACTTATGGGAAACACCACAAAGTACAAAGGGATGCGCAGAGGTGGCAAATCATACATGCGCTTTGTGTGTGGGAAGTGCTTTCTTTCCAGCTCAGGGCTGGCCACCCATCAGCACATCCAAACCAGGGAGAAGACATGTGAGTCAGAGAATAGTAGAGTTGGAAGGGGC